TTAGGACCACCTGTCCTGCCTTAGATCTTTCCTTGGTTCTCAGAGAACAGAGTTACCTCAAAAAGCAGCAGTCACTGAACACCTTACTTTGAAGTCAGCTGCCCAAGATGGGCACTACTTCCCTGAGGGGACAGTCACTTCCCCTTCCAGTCACAGGACTTCACAAGAACAGCCTGTGTAGGTGTAGGAACCTGGGGCCTAAGGGGCTGAGCATCCTGTCTTCCTCTGGTCTCCTACAGCACCCAGGGTATGTCTACATAGGCTCTAGTCCAGAAGGTTCTCTAGGTCTCAGGACCCACTTTAAAAATGTTTAACAGTCCCACAGGTCCCTGGGGTCACTGTAGACTCCAGCCCACAGCCACAGAGAAAAGGGTCTCAGGAAGACAGGCTCCACAGAACCTGCCCTCTTCCCACCCCTGTGGCCACTGCCTAAATATTCTAGAATACCTCGTCTCCATCCTCTACCCCCACCAGCTCTGTTTCCTTGCTCCATGCCCATCTCCGTTCCTCTGTCAAAACTGCTCCAATCCCACCCAAAGCCTTTCTTCTTCTTTTCCCTTTTCTCTCCCTTCCTCCCTCCCTCCCTCCCTCCCTTCCTTCCTGCCTTCCTTCATTCTTTCCTTCCCTCTCTCCCTCCCACTCTCTCGTTCTCTCTTTCTCTCTTTCTTTTTCTTTCTTTCTTTCTTTCTTTCTTTCTTTCTTTCTTTCTTTCTTGTGTTTTGTTGTTGTCCCTGTTTTGTTTTGTTTTTTGAGACAGGGTTTCCCTGTGGCCCCAGTTAGCCTGGAACACACTATGTAGACCTTGGTCTCAAAGAGATCTGCCTGCCTCTGGGATCAAAGGCACGGGCCACCACACTTAGCCTGCCTTCCTCTTTCCTGGCTTTTTCTTCCTCCTCTATCTTTCCCTTTCCTTCTACTGTTCCTCTTCCACGTCTCTTTCCTTGTTTCCACCCTTTTTACTTTATGTGTATGAGTGTATTGCCTCCAAGTATGTAAGCGTACCAGTGTCACGCAATGCCTGCAGAGGTCAGAAGAGGGCGCCGGATCCCCTGGAACTGGAGTTACAGATGGTTGTTTTCTGCCATGTGGGTGCTGGGAACCAAACCTGGGTCCTCTGCAAGCGCAGCCAGTGCTCTTAACAACTGAGCCACCTCTCCAGCTCTGTTTCTTCTCTTTATGCTACAGTCCCTCTCCATCTCTTCCCCTCCCATTTCCTTCCAGTTTTCCTTTCCTCTCTCACCTTGCAGACTGAGAGGGGACATGGGGTCAGTGGACACGACTGTCTCCCTTCCCTCCAAGGAAGACATTGCTGAAGGGGCAATGGCCCGCATGCAGGCCACTCCCCAACTCACTCACAGGATTGTGATCATGGCCAGGAAGCAGGTGTGACATTCTACCTTTGGATTTCCCAGCAGTCTCTGCACAAAGCAACATGGCTGCAAAATCTGGAGTGCATGGGGCACATGGTCAAATGCGGTTCATGATCAAATATCATTCAACCAGGTGAAAAAGGACTAAGTTCTTCACCTGGTCAAAAGACCACCGCTCTACCTCCCCATCCATGAGAGAGAGTCCTGGGCCCCATCTTGTCCATGGGTTCTAGCACCCATCCAGGTGTGGAAACACATCCTGATCCCTGAGAAAGAAGGCTTAGCTTGGGAGCAGGGTCTGGAGATCTGTCTGCAAACCCCGATATCTGCAGATCTCCAACATTCACATGTTAAAAAGAGAATCAGTGAAACTCTGCATCCTTCCCTCCCACGATGATTTGTAAGTCTACAATGAGAGTGGAGTTCCTGGGAGTTGGGGTCATGCTTCCCCTTGATCAATGGACCATAATGGGCTATGAGGTACAGACAATCTTACAAGATTGGACGGAACGAAGACAGGATGGCTTTTTGCTTTGACTTGTCTCCTGTGAGACAAGCCTGGGACACAAAACCTCTTGTTGTTTCACTGGGCAATGTTCAGGCTAGCTGCTGTTTCTGGGAGGCCTCAAATTCTGCTAACACCAAACAAACTCGGGTGTCAGGAATGAGCTATTCAGAAACTGTGGCTCAGCTCAGGAAAGAGTGTAAGTTTTGTGTGAACATGAAAAGAGGAACTCAAGTTAAAATAAGTGGGGACCAGTAGTGAAACTTGGTCAAAGACAGCTTTGACTTGGCTTCATTGGGTTTCAGCTTTGATTAGCTCCTCAGTAGTCACATGCTGTCATTTACTCCCCCCCCCTTCGGGGGGAGGGGCTCATGTAGCCAAGGCTGGCCTCAAACTCTCTGTGTAGCTGAGGATGACCTTGAACTTCGAATTCCTTTGCCTTTATTTCCTAAGGGCTAAGATTATACGCATGCGTCACCATGCCTGATTTTCTATAACACTGGAGACTGAGTTGAGGGCTTCACACATGCTAGGCAGGCACTCTACCAGCTAAGCAACATTCCTAGGCCCTAGCAGGTATATTTTTATAGGGCATCTTTGTTAGTAGAGACTTCCCTAGGGACTGCCAAGGCCCCCGTCTTCCTATTGCTTAGTTAGCTGGTGTTGGCTACCAAGGAGGTTGCAGGCCAGGCATGAGATTAGGAACATACACGGTCAGCAGGGTCACATATCTGTGAAAACTGCCTGTCCACTGCACAGGATGAGGTGGCTATTGGCTGCCAAGCATGCATGCTCTGTCCCCTTCTGCAAGTGAAGGGCAGGTACTTGCTTCCTAACAGCCAATCAACACACAGACCAGTGGCCTGTAAGTGGCTCAGGCAGAGAAAGCCTTTGGGGTCTGAGCCAATCAGATTCCTCTGGTGACAGAGCAGAGAAGGGCTATCAGTAGGAGACGAACAAACCCACAGAGACCAGCCGAGTCATGAGTCACGGAAGTGGAACCCAGACAGGGCCTGGGCTCCTCCGGTTCCAAACTGGAGGACTTTAGTATCCTTCTCACCACCAAGCCATTGATTGGCCCCTTAAACAAGTAATGGTAGCCCCTCTCCCCAAGCCTGTCAAGGCTTCTATTTCAAAGCGGCTGTGAGTCTGTAGCTATTTACGGGGTCACAGGAAGCTACCACAGCAAGAATGTGAAGATAATGTGGGCACAGAGTCCAGACAGACGCAGTTAGGGGTTTACAAGCTGAGGGCACAAACCTAGACAAGAGGCCACAAAGTCACGTCTTTTCCAGTCATACTTAAAGTCTTTTTTCCTTTGAAGGAACAGAAGAAACCACAAAGGGGAAAAATGATCAAAGGCATCGACGGACTTTTAACTTAAGAGAGTTGAGACTCACAGCAGAAAGCCACCTAGAGGGACTCCACACCACCGGGAAAAGTTTACTCAGTCCTAGACTTGGATAAAACAGTAGAGACCACCGAGGCCCAGCAGCGGCCAGACACTTCCTCAGCATGTGAGGGGTCCACATTCGGATGACGAACACCTTCCAAGCACTTGAAAGGAGGGTTCGCCTAAGTGAACCTACACCTGTCCTGGTGATGTGCACCAAAGACTGAGCCGGGACAGGTGCGTGCCATGTTCTGTGCCCCATCCCCATGCACCCCCTCTGGTCCCAAACAAGCCTGAGACCTTCCAGCATACCTTCCTTCCATCCAGGTGTTCAGAGTCATGTGAGAGGGAGGGAGAACAGCACTGTCCTTAGCCTGGGCACCGTGGACATCTGGTAAAGCACTGTACACAGACCCACAGTGGCCAGTCCCTTGAAGCCCTGTGTGAGCAGACTCCACTACCTTGAAGGCAGCTCTGCCACACCTGGGTGGGCCAATCCCCTTTGGTCTTATTCTCTGGACCAAGTGGCTAGTAGAAGTGATTTCTTTTGAACCTCACCATTAGTCATCCTGAGAGGCATTCCACTGTACACAGCTTCTCTCTCTTAGACATTTCTGGGGGCTTTTGCCCTGGGGCCTGCCTTTTGTCAAGGCCCTTGCAGGTCTGAGTCTACCTCTTCCTAAAGAATGAGTTATTCTCTTCAAGTTTTAGAAGTCAGCAATGTGCCCTGTCTCTCTAAACCCCAAAGACTTCGTCATTACTGTTCTGTGACATGATGCCCAAATCCTGTCTGCTCTGTCTGACTAAGACAAGGACACATGTCACTTGTTGCTGTGGCTCTTACTATGGTCCCCGAGAATGTAGTGACATGCACTCCCTGCCCCCCACTGAGAACACTGAGGCTGTCACCTCCTCCTTTCTATACACCCCCACGTTCTCTTAATGCAACTGGGCAAAAACTAGCCTCCCTGCCTTCCACATCACTCAGCTGTCACACACTGTGGTCAAACAAAGCCCTATGTTTGTCACTCAAACTGCTTAAGGTGGTCTTTCCAAGCTTGAATTGGCACAGCTGATAACTTCCTTATAAAGTTCAGCTGTGGCAGAGATGGCTCATTGGGTAAGGGCACGTGCCACCAAGCTTCAGTACTTGAATTCAATCCCCAGAACCTACGTAACAGAAAATGAGAACCAGCTCCTGCAGGTCGTCTTCTGACCTCCACACGCATGCTGAGGAAGCCTCACACCCCAAATAAATGATGCAAAAATTAAAGTTCAGCTCTAAACTTTGTTTAGACTTTACACAGTGAAATCAGGTGCTAGAAGTGTCAGCACTGGGCAGAAGAGAGTTCTCCAAGTTCAAAGGTACCATCTCATCTAATCTAGCTCCCCTGCAAGTCTATCTTCCTCTTCTCCCCGGGCCATGCACTCACTCATCTGAGATAGTCAAAGAAAAGAACGGACAGAGACACAGCTTCTCCCTTGACGTCATTTACCACTGTGTCCTTTACTCACCCATGGCTACCACCAATCCCCGGCATGCCTGTCCATCATGCTATGGGACAGGGTCTCCATGGAGGGTCACTGTTTACCACTCAGCCCAAACCATGGGCCCTGGGAACAAGACCAGGCTCTGCCAAGCTTTTATAGTTCGGCTGTTCAGGACACGTGCTTTTCCTTCCTCTTTTTCATTTTCTCTGTCAGAGTAGGCACAAGTTGTTTCAGGACTTACCTGAACAGTAAATTTATCATCTTCATTGGGCAGGATTCTGTACGTATAAACGCAATTCCGGAACCTGAAATAGATCAAAGACCTCATTAGAATCCATGCAGGAAAACCCAGTTTCCTTGTACCGAAGAGAACAAGGCTGTCTGCAACAGCTCACGGAGTCCGGACACAGTCTAAATGTCAGGCGTGCTGGTGCTCTGAGGTGGAGCTGAGTCTGACATCCCACAGTTGGGTGCAGGTGATAGATAAGAAGTTATATTCTCATAGCCAAATAGTATTCTTATATAATGTCCTTCTAAGCTCAGGTCATTTTAAGTTTCCTCTTGTTCTATTTACTAGCTAGATATCTTGAAATGCAGCCCCCTGTGATATTTACCCCCCCCCCGCAGTAAATGCTTTATTGGTCTGTGATATTTTCACTACCCTGAGATGTTTTGTTATTCTGTAAAATCTTGAAGCTCTGTGATGCTTTCTAACTAACCTTGTCTAACACTAATAAAGACAGGAAACTAAGAAAACCGGAAAGTCACAAGATGGTCTAAGACACCATTCTGACAAGAGCATAGACCAAATGTATCTAAACTTCTGTCTATGGTATCTGTTTTTGTAAATTGCAACGATCATTTGACTGACTTCTAGCCCAATTAGCCTGGCTTAGCTATAGATCAAAAGGGAGCAGATATCCTGGCTCAAGCCTGGGATATCCACTTTGTAAATGATAATGACCTGGTGAACTCAGGAAAGAATTTTCTTGAGATAGCATGGCATATCAAAGAGCCATAGGGCCCAGACGACCACCATTAAATGGAGTAAAAAGTACGATGTAATCACACTTGCATTTTGCTCTAGGCCCAGAAAATCTTGAAACCCTTGTTGCTAATTCTGGGGCCACGTGCATGTGAAAAATAAATGAGCTCTTTGACTCTCTCCTGGGTAACGTGCTTAATTTCTTAGCTATTCAAAGGATTTTTCCATAACACAGGCACTTCTTGCCCACCCCCTCAGTGTACACGCACGCACGGAGTGGCTGTGGACATGGTGTTTACATCGATGCTAAGGGGTCAGAGCTAAATGTGTCAGTCATCTACAAGGGCTCCTCAACCTCTTGGTTGTAATGCTGGTTGATAGAATGGACCAAGAGGCTATATCTGAGGAACGGAACCTCCCAGGGGGCTCAGCAAAAGGGGGGTATGGTGACTGGTTCACCTGTGGAGGGAACACATTGGCCAAAGCAAGGCTCCCCAGTGCCGGCCTTCTGCTGAGCCCTCATTCCCCCACATGACTCCCTCCCCTTGCCCTAAAGCTTCCTTAAAGTGGGTCCTTAGCCCTCAGAGAGCCAGATTTGCCCCAGCAGGGGGTGGGTGAGCTCTGAGGTGGTTTCTGAAGAGGAAGTGCTCAGTAGCTCGGATTTCTTCTCTTCTAGAACCTCCATCTTCTTTGGCTCAAGGATCCCAGGTACTTTGTACTTTCCTAGAGCCTCCGGGAGGAAGGAGCTGTTAAAGCTGCATCCCCTCAGCGGGGAGCACTGGTGTGTGGCTAGCAGCCCTGAGGACCATGGGAGTCTGTTGGTGACCACAGGAATCCATTGCCACCACCCCCTCTTGAGCCTGGCAGGCTGTGAGCAGTTTGGGGGGGACACTACTACCACTAGCTCTGTCTTAACTCTGGACTGTTCTGTCCTCCACCATGATCTCCCTCTCCACTTGAAGTGCTCATAAACCTTGAAAACTAGGCACCCGTGGCCCCCAGGCAGGAGTCAAGCTCTGTCCTCAATACAAAGCGTCTAAGAAGTTTCACTTAGCCCCTTCTGTGTACTAGACTTACTACCATGTATTCACACAAGTTCTTGTTTAATTCATTTAAAAGACTGTATATTGAGGCTAGGCACACAGCTAGGTTAGTAGGGCTTGCCTAGCATGCATGAAACCCTGAGTTCGGTTTCCAACATAAACCAGGTGTGTTGGTATATACCTATATTCCTAGCGCTTAGGAGGTGGAGGCAAGAGGATCAGAATCTTAAAGTTATCCTCAGCTATGTAGACTGTTGAGGGCCAACCTGTGCTACACGAGACTCTATCTTAAAAAAAAAAGAGATTGCATATTTTAAAAAACTAAAAGCCACACACAAGAAGCTATAAAATGAAAAACAGGTCTCCTCTAACCCTATGAGCTCTGTTTCTTAGATTTGCTCCTATTTATAAAATGCTTCTAAACATCTACACAATATTCTATCTTTTAAAATGTGTATAATCATATAATTGTTGCTGGGTGTGGTAATGCACACCTTTAATTCCAGCACTCGGGAGGCAGAGGCAGGTGGATCTCTGTGAGATCAAAGCCAGCCTGGTCTACATAATGAGTTCCAGGCCAGCTGGGGAGCTACAAAGAAACCCCATCTCAAAAGACCAAAAAAAAAAAAAACCCAAAACTCATAATATTTATGTTGGTTTGTTGTTTACTTTACACACACACACACACACACACACACACACACACACACACACAATCAGAGGTCTTCCACATCAATTGAGAGAGATGATTCATTACCAGTCCCTTAGCACTCTACAACATAGACATATGGCCTTGTACCTGACCAGGCACTGTTGATGGGTGGACAACTGATTTTTTTTTTTTTTCTTTTTGAGACAGAGTCTCCCTGTAGCCCCAGCTGGCCTGGAACTCACTATGTAGACCAGGCTGGCCTTGAACTCACAGAGATCTGCCTGCCTCTGCCTCCCAAGTGCTGGGATTAAAGGTGTGCACCACCACGTCCAGTTACAAGTGATTATTTTTAACTTTTGCCTTTATATATAATACTGCATAAACATCTCTGTTCCTACATCTTTGTGTCCGTGGATGAACTAATCATCTTAGTTTCCCCTTCAGTAAAATGATGTAACACCATATCTATTTGCTGTTGGGTATACTAAATGCATTCATTACTCAAGGCCTTTGAAACTGAACCTGGCTCATCGTATCAGTGTTTGTTAGTGATTGTTGATAAATTAGTAACTAGAACGAATCAGGTGGACAAAAAGACATAGGCATTTTACACACAAACATACCCCCCCCCCCTCTCACACACACACACACACACACACACAGACTTTTATGTAGCTTAGGCTGTCCTTGAACTTGCGATCCTCCTGCCTTAGCTTCCGAAGTCCTGGAATTACAGGTATAAACCACCATGCCTCGCTGGAGTTTTGTATTTTAATAGAGATTACCAGTTGCCATCCAATAAGTTTGTTGTTTTTTTCTTTTGGTAGTTCTAACCGGATATGAAAGTGTCTATTTCCCCACGCCCTGCTGACTGGTTTATCAGACTTCATAATCTTTGCAAATCTGACAGGGGAGAGAACAGTGCTGGCTTGCCTTAATTTGCCTTTCTTTGTGAGAAAGGTTCACCATGTTCTTGTTCTTAGCTGTTTCTTTTTCTTTGAATTCCTTTTCATGTCTTTGTCTTGCTTTTTCTCTGTGTCATCTTTTGCTTATTTACAGACCTCTGATCTACGCTATCACGCATTTTGGAATTGTTTATTCAACGTTTGCCAGTTGCTTTTTGTAGCTGTATAGTTTTACAATTTTTTGTAGCCAGTGTTATAATCTTTTATCTTATGACTTTGAGTCAACAAATGCTTCAAGAAAATTTGGGGTACTGTCCATGGGAAATTTCACATCCACGTCTCTTCACTCTCATCAGGAAAGTGCCTCTTACTCTTCTGGATTCAGCTGCATCTTTCTGCCATACCCCCCGACCCCTGCCCTACCTTCAGAGCTCAAGATGATATCACAACCAGTCTGCTAATGTCACCTCACCTTCCAGAGACATCTCTGGGGTACAGAGAATCCTTACAACTGACCTTTGCCATCCCCAGGGTTCCCAGCTCCAACCTTGTGCAGGGCCTGACATAGGAACCCTAGGTCAGCTCCACTTATCTCTCAGGCGCCCTGACATTTCCTCCTACAGATAAGCAAAGGAGGGAGGAGGAGAGTGGCTCCCACAGGCTGGGGGTAGCTACTTGAGGAAGGAGCCCGAGAGGCAGACAGGAAGAAAGGATAGGGAGACGAAGCAGTCACAGTTCCAAACAGGAAAGCCCCTCTAGTTTAAATGTGGGAGAAAACCCTGCCTGGCCTTTTCAGTTTCTAGAAACTGAAACAAAGAAACCACCCCAAATTACTAGGACCCAAATCAAAAGCAAACACATGTACAACAGGAGCATGTCAGATGACCCTGCTGCCTGGTGAAGGGATCTGCTGTCTTTACTGTCTGTCTTTACCCAGCACTGTGACCACCACCTTCACAACAGTAGTCTCAAACTAAATTCCAAAAGGTTCTGGGAGCCGCCCCAACTCTCCTCACCCTGATCTTATGTTCACACATAACACACATGTACACATATGCATACGCAGAACACACGTGCCCACACACCACATACATATGTGTGCATAGCCCAAATTCACATACATATGCACAACACAAATGCCCACATGTTCATCTACATAATACAAACATGCATGTGTAGGCACAAACTATATTTCTATATACACACAGACAAAATATTAAAGGCAAAATGTTGAAAGCAGCCTGGGCACACATAGCTCTGCCTGGCATGCGCGAGGCTCTGGGTTCCCCAACTCTGTGGGGGAAAAAATTCAAAATGCTGAAAGAAAAGATTCCACAGCTAAATAATTTTTGATAACTGCTGCTCTAGAACCATCCAGACTGCACTCACTCACTGCGCTCCGGGGACAATCATCCAACCAGCCCTTGTCAGCTCTTTGTGTTGACTTGGTCACAACTTGGGGTGCTAATGGTAGCTCTAAACTGGACTTTCTCTGTCACTAGGCTCCGATTCAGGTTAATTGTGCCAGGAAGAGTCCCAGTACCCTCTCTAGGGATCCAGATCTTTTATCTGCTACCAAATGACATTTTCCATTCTCAAGTGAAGCTCTCAGAGCAGAACTCCCACCTGACTTTGTCCACCTGAGTGACAGGTGCCTGTCCTGAGTTGAGCCTAGAGCAGGAGGAGAGGTGGGAGGTGCCTTTTCAGGGCAGGGGGTCTC